TTGTAATTTTGCAGCGCTGCTTGTTGCCCACTGGTATGTCCGTAGACATAAATTGAGCCTTCCAACGCCTCTGCATCTTACGTATGATCACTTAAATTTGACGTAGATACTTCTTGTAAATTCAGAACTAAAGCAGCTAGGGGATTGAAACTTTCCAACTGTGACCGACATATACTTACTGGATGTAAAAGCAACTTGCACGTTCCTTTCATGCCTCACTTACGAACACGTGAAATTTGACATAACTCCGCAACCGAATTATCTAGAGTGCTAAATTTCTTGAGCATGGATGAGAGTCACTGTAATAACTTCTGACAGCTGTGGTGGTAAGCCTCAATTCTTTTAGATAAAAGCATCTGCCGGAAAAAAAAACAGTTCTGTTAGCGACAACGACTTGCAGGGGAAGTGCGCAAAAAAGACATCTTCGTACCGACGGTCGGTGCGCTGTCAAATTATTTGAAAATTACCTAACTGTTTACTAGGCAATTTCTCCGCCAAAATTTTTGCGTGCCCCTAAGTGAAAACCATTCGCAGCTGGGGGCCAAATTTGAAATCTTTGGGTTGTACTTGGAGAGGAATACATCCTCTAATATTTCAGCTTTCCGACTTTTTCGGTTTCCGATTTGGCAGTTTTCCCATCGGAATTCTTACGTGCCAGTATGTAAAAGCCACGCATGCTGCAAGCTGAATTTAAAATCATTAAGTTATTCGTGAGCAAGGATCATTCCCTTAAAATTTCAGCTTTCCGTCTTGTCTGGCTCCTGAGGTCGCTATCTCGCCAAGAAACTTGCATATTTTTTTGTGGCGTCCGTGTGTTGGATCCAGGCCCACACGAAAGGTAATATTAAAGCGGGAGGATCAAAGGATCACACAGCGGGTGAGCATATACCCCCGAAGTTTTAGCATTTTAGCTTTTCTGGTTCTTGATTTGGAAATGGGTGATAAAAAGTGCGAACATACAGACACACAAACAATATGCGTTTTTGATTGCTGTAACAGCGCTGTAACGTTGCACAGCAAAGGCGCTTAAAAGTCCTCGAAAAAAGAACCGGCTACTACTAACATTTGTTTGTTGACACCAATATCCAGGCAACATGCACTCCATCTTTTCGCCCGACATTGACTGAAGTGAATGCTGTCTGTTTTGTCTGGTCGCAGTTTCGGCATACAAGGTTACAGGTGGCCGAAAGTCGTATTGCTTGAAAATTATATCGCAGACACTGTCGAATAAAGCAGGCTCTGCTCTGGCCAACTGCGCAACAAATAAGTCTTCGTTTGTTGGCAGAGACAGACTGGATTGTGCTGCGAGCACTTGCTCGCCAAGCAAATTTTCGGAGCAGATCGAGCGAAGTGTGATATCCTCGCCAACGTCACAGCGCTCCAAAAATGCATCTTTCTGAAAACACAGAAAAATCATGATTGTTTAAAGATGGCGACTTCGATAAGTGTGTCAAAGCGTCTGATGTTGCGGGCGAAATGGCTAGCCAAATGAAGTGAATGATTGTTTTCATTTTTCACAAGCTGAAAACCATTTGACGCGTTTTGTGCTAAGCACTGGCTTTTACCAGGCATTTATGAGCCCTTTACTCCCACGCTCTGTAGAGTTATATTTATAGTAGGCACACATGTATACATATATATATATACATGTATACATATATATACATATATATATACATATATGTATATATATACATACATATGCATATATATACATGTATGTACATATATATACATATATATGCATATATATGTA